GCTCTTCCCCTTCGTCATCCACCGATTCGTACCGGCGATTTACTCGAACCGCGATGCTGCCGCCCGCGAACCACGGAAACCTCGATAGTCGCTCGTTTCATCCTTCGCCAACTCTACCTCGCAGCGCCAATCGAGACTCGATTGATAGCAAAGACGCGAGAGAACCACCCGTGCCAACACCATTTCCCGACCCTGTCGGGACGAGGAATTTTTCCAAACGCTAATAAAACACCGCGTCGGTGGAACAGGCTACTCGGGTCGTTCTATAATCGAACGTGACGCGGGATCTCGTCATTCCGTGAACCAGAGATCCGATCTTTTCTTTCTTTTCTTTCTTTTCCTCTCTTTTCGTTTTCGACAACGACGAAAACGTGGAAGGCAGTGGAAGCAACGCGTAGGAATTCGCAACGTTAACAGAGCCTCGCAACCGACCAAGGTGCCGATTCAGTTTGTCGCGAAGCGATCAAGGTCCTTCTTATCCTACCGAGAGGCCGCGATAAGATAAGCCCACCGACGACGTTCGACTTCCGATCGCGCTCGAAACTCTCCGTTCGTCGTCTCCCTCTCCTGTATTCTTCCTTCTTTCCTCGTTCCCTCGTGCAATTTATTTCAAAGAAAATTAAACTCGCGGAATTTCCCACTTTGCTCACACCCTGGCAACGATGTCGCGAATAACTAGACACGCAGGCGTCCGTCTAACTTGATAACACAAGGATCGGGAATTTCGTGTACGGACGAAACGGTGCGAAAGACGAGGAGGGCGAAGAAAATCACGACACACGGACGAGGTGGATAGAGCGGAGGGGCTCGGAGATCGAAAGACGGACGAAAAGGTCGCGGTTGTTGAACGAAGTAGTTCGACGATTCGTGCGAATGTAGCAGCGTGGAACGCTTATGATAATGAGCCCTCGCGATTACCAGACGGGGCCAGCGAACAGGGAGATGATGTCGAGCCGATAGAGACGTCCAGACCGGATACAAGGAAGGTCGAAGGAGAAGAACCGGATAATCGTCACCGTAGTAGCTACGCACCGGGTCTGGCTATCGGTTCTGCCGGCCCTCTCGACTCCGCGCGCTCTGGCCTTCTCTCCAGACGAGGAAGGAAGTCGCGTTTTGCGCGTACACCTGCGCAAAGGGGCGCCTCCCACCTGCGGGCCACCTGAACTTGCGGATAGAACCGCGTCTCGGACACTTTCAGGGCACCTGACTCGCGAACATGCTCGCTTGTCCGCGATAATTGCCCGATGCGCCATCGATCCCGGGCTACTTGCAAATTCATCGTTGCTCCGATTATTGTTCCCGGCGAAAGTTTCTGCCCCCCGATCTGGCGTTCACCCGAAATGGTTCCGGTATGCGTGAGCGTAATTTCGAAACGCTTCCCGATACGCGTCGTTACTCGGCCGCGAAACTTTTCCAGAGAACTCTCTCGCTCCGTTTGCTCGCCGAGATTCTTAAACAGCGGAATCTCGCATTCCTCGGACGTGGAACACGCTCGAGATGGTAATCGGGGAACGGTCGTCGACGAGATCGGATTAACAGGCATTTCGGTGTTCTCCGCGAGCCTATTTACTCGCGGCTACATTTCGAGACACGTTCGACCGCGCAACGGTCACCAGGAAGATCCTGGCCGAGCTATGATAACGGATTCTCCGAGTATACTGTTACTACGCCCGAGAGAGCGTACTAGCGAGAGACTGCCGAACGATTGGCACGGAACGAAGTATCGAGCCGTAAAAGACCAGCCCGAGCACACACAGGCTCGAGCAGCCGAATGCCTGGAATTAAACACGCTGGAATTTTGCTAGGAAAATTCTAACCAAAAGTACCACGACCTTCTTCTCCTTCTCCTTCTCTCTCTCTCTCTCTTTCTCTGTCTGTCTCTCGTACACGATTGCTGTATCGCGATCGCGTGAAACGCTTCGAACGCGCGACTACGAGACACAGCGAGGCAACCTCGCGTTTCGCGTGCACAACTTTCTTCGACCACGCGATACACGCTTTTTCGGCAAGTTCGCGTGATCGTTTCTGGAAAGAAAGCGTCGATACACCGCGGAAACACCTCCTCTTCGTCGATCGGGCCCGATCGTGGTTTCGCGTGACGAAAAATTATTACGGTCGACCACAAAACGACGAATTATTTATTTACATCGCACGCTCGGTCCTCTAATAGCGGCGAGATTGACCCGGCGCGGGGACCAGTTCGCGGACTTAGCGAGAGGTAAGCGGACGACTGCCTATACGTGTGGCCGTGTCCGGTGGAAATTCATCACCGACCACGACCTTATAGCACTCGCTCGATTCGCGAGTACTCGGGTATGGAAGTTGGGAAAAATCTATCGAGAACGAATGGTCGAGTTAGTTGGCGACGCGGAACGGAAACTTGGCGCGAACCGGGAAAATAGAAGACTGTACGCGGAAGTTTGCTCGATTTGCATAAGTAGCCAATCAAAGTTGAAATGAGCGCGGAAAAGTAAGACCAGAGCCCTATCTCTCTAACGCTGATTCGCGTGGCGAAAAAATTCGCGAGGCTCGGCGTAGCCGAACATAAGCCCCTACTACGAGGTAACCAGCCTCGGCTGTCGCGGGTTCATTCGTAACGTTCTTTCACTCGGGGTGAAAACTTTGCGCCGATATGCGATATGCGACGACGATTGACTGGTTCCATGATTTACCTGAAGTAGTGCGATCCAAAGGGAGAGCAGTAAAAGGGGTCGTTGTGCATGTGCGGCTGTCCGGGTACTCCAGGTCCCTGAGGATGAGGATGAGGCCCCATCGGGCCGGTGGGTCCTGGACCGCACATCCCAGGTGCGCCTTGAGGCTGCATGCCTGCCGGGCCCATCATACCGGCGGCCGGACCCATGGGATGCGGACCAGGATGGTGCGGCGAACCAACCATGTGGGGGCCAGGATGGTGAGGATGAGGCGAGGGTCCACCGCCGCCCATGTGCGGGTGAGGCGCATGAGGCGACCCGCTCATCATTCCGTGGGGCGGCATCGGGTGAGGACTCGGAGAAGCCCCGTTCAAATGGGGTCCACCGGTGACACCGGCGTGCGGCGTCGGCGGACCCCCATGAGTCGGCGTGGTAGCCGGCTGGGGAGGCGGCAAACTAGGCGGTCCGGTAGGTCCGGTGGCCGCTAGCGGCGGCAGCGGGCCATTCGCCATGTTGTTCAACTGGGTTAGCGAGGCCGCCGCCGACGCCATCGCCTGCAAGGGATTCGTGGCGCCGCTCGTCGTGCTGACGCCTAGGCCGGTGCTGGCGATGCTCTGACCGCCGTTACCGTTGCTATTGCCGTTGCTGACGGCACCAGTGGTGCTGCTGGCGTTGCTCACACCGCCGCCGAGCGATTGCAAGGAGGGCGGCAGCGGTGGCGAGCCGGCGGGGGGCGCTGCCGGGCCCCCGAGGCACCGGCCCGACGGACCGGAGGCGGTTACGCTGCTGGGCGCTACCGGCACGCCGGCGTGCAGTGGTATTCCACCTGGGGGGCGCTGTGCCACCCTCACCGGCATCACTCCCCCCTCCACGACGCCCTTCACCCTCTCCTCGAACTCCCGTCGGCCTGATGACTGGGGTACAAGCGCGGGAATTTCTTGCTGCTGCCTGATGCTGCCGCCGCCGCCGCTGCTGCTGCTGCTGCTGCTGCCGCCAAGCGATTCCGAATCTCTTCTGTCGTTCTTTTCACCACGATATATCCTTCCTTTCTTCTTTCTCCTCCGAGATTACGATTCGTTGGCACTCGATATTTTCTCACTCACACCTCGGGGTCTATTTATTTGCTACACTGCTTCCTTTTCCGTTCGCGGTTCTTTTTTTCTCTCCGATTCACCGCGAATGATAGGTCTTACTCTACTCTACCTTTGGCGCCGATTCCTCGGACGCGGAGACTCTGCCGGGGTAACGGACGGTTCGCGTCTGACCGACAGAGGCGTCGGATCCCACTTTAGAAACTCATCGCTCACGAGTAACGTGAGTAATAACACTGCTGCGAATGGCGAATTCACCGTGGCCAAGGAACCACAACAAAACACACTTCACGGTATTATACTTTGGCGACGTAAACTCGACTAACCACGTTCCCTCGGTATACACGCGTCGGACGGAAGGGACGGCACACCTCGTGCGTATCAAGCGTTTCGAGTTTCTCGATACTCCCGCGATATTCTCGCGCGTTTCTTGCTCGCGCGGGACAACGAATCGACATCCCGTGACGACCAAGTTCATCGCTTCTGCCACCACACACCGCCAGCGTCCTCTCTCGTTTCGACGGCGGAATATTCGATTATCTACTACTATCGCGACGACGATTCGATTTCGATCTGGAATCGGGGAAACAGTGCGTGCCACCTGTTCGCGCGTCTGTGCTCGCACCGTCAACCGAGGAGTATCCAACGACGCACAACGAGCCCTGCTGCTGCGTTTCAACGGTATATCTGCCTGATTGCGAGGAGCAACGACGAACAATCACCAAGGATCTCCCGAGTCACGAATCGAGTGCACACTTGGTACGAAGCGGGAAATATCACGGATACCACTATACTACTATATACTCCCATCGATCGAGGAATCACACACTCGGGCTAGCCTGTTTATACCACGCGTTGCGTCGAGGAAAACTCGGCCGTTCGGTCACCGTTTCGCTCGACTAGCTCTATCTACGGACGAGTATGTCAGAGCAGCAGTTAATGGCAACAGCCAGCGAGGCATCCGCGGGGGCACGTGGCCGTCACGTCGTCGGCGTCGCGGTGCGCACCTACGTCGCGGACCAGCACTCCTCGTCTCCCGCCCATCCTGCCGGCCTTCTTCTCCTCCTTCTGCCAACGCTCGCCGCCGACTCCCGCGGGAACTTTTAGCATCCCGTATCCGGACTCAGTCGCCGCTAGGCGACCCAAACATTAGGCCTGTGCAACCACGCTGCTGCTGCTGCTGCTGCTGCTGCTGCTGCTTCTTCTTCACTGGCTGGCCGCGTTTCGGCATAGTCCGTGACGCGATCTTTCCTATACGCTCTCTAGTTCACTCCTAGTTTCCTATTAGTCGCGAACAACACTTCCCGGCTGCCTCTACGACACGAGTTGTGCACGCACCGCGAGAGTCCCACCGTCGTTCGGCCGCCACCACCACCACCACCACCACCACCACTCTACTCTCGTCCGAAAACGACTCCGTCCAAGACTCTCTGGTCGACTCCGGTGCAAGCAGAGACAGAGAGAGAGAGGAAGAGAGAGAGAAAGAGAGAAGAAACGTGGTTCGACCGACCACCGAACTATCGCGAGACGATCACTGAACACTCGAGTCACCGTGCGCGCGATCGACACCAAAGAAACAGACAGAGAAAAAGGCAAGCAGACAGACAGGAGAGAGGGGAAGAGAGGAACAGAGAGGGAGAACACGAACGCGGGACAACGCGCGCTGCGTGTCACGAAGCAACGAGCAGCACTGTCCGCGAACGGTTGTACACTCGACGAAAGCAATCGCGTTACTGCGGAGCGGCAGGCGTGGCGGCGCTGCCGTCGCACTCGAGCTTTCGAGGACAGAGCGGCACGCTGGAGGGGGAGAGCCACGCGAAGACGCCGGGTGGGGGAAGCTGAACCGAAGCCACGGCGAAAGGAGCGTCGGAAGGGAGCAGGCTCACGCACGGACGGAAAGGTGGGGAGCCACGTGAGCGCCCGATGCCCGGTGTCCACGCAACCGACGTGGGACTTGCCTTACCTTGCATTACCTTGCCTTGTGCCTTGCTTTGCCTCGCTCTGCGCCCCGTCCGCCACCCCTGCCGCTCTCGCCACGCAACCCTTTTGCGCCCTCGCTTTTCCTATTTTTCCCTCCGCTTTCACCTTCTTTCCCAATCTACCCCCCTCCCCCGAGGTTCGCTCACCGTTCCGACCATTCCCGATCACCAGACGCGCACAAATTATCGCCCTCCGATACCTCCCGTATATATACCTGCGTATATTTGTCGCGTAATTATACCGAGAGGAGAAAAAACTGTCGTGATATATCCTACTCGGCAGCTTCGAAGAAGATTTTGTTTCATTTTTTAATTTGCACGCGAAAAATCGAGTCGAGAGGGGACCGAACACGGAGATGCGACCGAACTCGTTTGGAAAATGATCGGACGACGAACACGTCCGACCCGAAGCGAGAAAGGTAGTTTCACTTTCCGTCGCGATCCGAATCCGTCGGTGGTCCGGAGGAACCGGCGCAGGATTGATTCTAAGATCACAGAAGCCCAGAAATTCGATTTATCGTGTTCGGGGTCAAGTTGAACGCATTTGTACGGCGTGATGAAGAAGAATGGTCTATCAGCTTGACGCGCGGCGCGTGCGAAAACGACCATCGCTCCTGCACCGTTGCACCAATGCCGCTGCTCCTCGCCCCTTTTCGACCTACCCTCCCCGATTTTCTTACCGATCGGGATTTTTACTTCTATCCCCGGCTACCTCGTAATCGCTCGGACCGCGAAGCGTTTTTCGAAAACTCGACGGAAGGATTCGCCAACTTTCCCGCGGTGGATCGCCGATTCTCGCGAATCTAGTTTCCGAAACAGCGCGACGACTTAATAGGATTAAAAAGTAATCGAGCCGGGATCGCGGCGACCGATAGAGAAATGTCTTACGCTCCCGCGAGTCGCAGTGCAGCGAGGATTAACGGGATGAAGAAAAATGGGGACACGAGGGGAAAAAATGGGAGGATTCTGTGCGAAGACGTTTGATTAACCGCGAGGAAAATGTCCCACTTTAGACTCCATCGCAAACGCTTTGGAAACTGAAAACGCGAGACTCGTGACTCCTGTTCCCCCTCGCGAGAGGATCGGCTGTGGCCTTGCCGGTGCACATCTACGGTTAAAACGTATCCAAAGTTCTTTTGATCGAGTCGGAGGGGCCACCACCGCTCCGGATAGAGCGGAGAGCGCGTGAAACAGGTTCGAAACGGTACTAAGCTAATAACGAGGCCCTAACCGCGACCTAAGGAGTAGGACAGAGACTCAGGTAACTCGGTACTTGCCACGCAGGTAGAGCTTGAGACAAGAGGTATCATTGTCCGAGTGCCAGGAGGCCGGAGGCGACCGTTTACAAAGCGCTGGAAATTCCAGGTATCCTTCGCCGTTTAACGGAAAATAACAAAGTTTTCCCTGCCTCTCCTTCGCCCCCCATTATCGAGAAACCAGCCGGATGTCTCGCGCGTCGCTCCGCGAGTAATATAATTTCCCGAGGAAACGACACCTCTCTTTTCCCGCTTCTCTGCACCCCCGGCATCCTCGTCGTTTGGCCAATTTCACCCGTAACTCGGACAGAGTCGGCGAATTTTCGCGAAAAGATCGCGGAGAAAGTTCCCCGCGATGCTCTCTCTCTCTCTCTCTCTTGATCTTCCGAAAGCGGAAGAGGCTCGAATCGTGCGTCTATTAATTCCTGGAATTCCGTTCGGCGTTAGCAGAACGAAATATCCATCGGGCCAAAGATAGAACAGTCACGGTGCCGTTCGACCGGCATTCTTCACGGACTTCCAATGAAATTTTCTACCGTGGGTGGCGCGTTTCTGGTTTACGCACCGTGCCACGACCCTCCGTGGCATTGGGTACACGCACTGGAGACGAAGGACGGGGTCCAGTCTTCGGATAGACTACCAAGAATTCCCCGGGACCATTAATCTGCTCTCTGCGACACCCCGGGCCCCGTTTCCCTCCCTCTTTTTCCGTCAACCAGCCCTCCTTTCGACCAGGTAAGCGTGGCCGGACCCGGCCCGATCTCCCAGCCATTGTCCAAGACGTTGGTGAAACGAGAGTCAGGTTGTTGCACCGATCAGAAACCACTATCACGACCGGAAGCGGCCACGATCTTTCAGCGAGGGGGGCTAATTGCCTCGGGGGATGCGCTGATTGTCGCGAGCCGGACGGGAACGGGTTATTAGCGAGGTAGACTTTTCGTTTCGAAGGTAGCAGGCGCACGCGTTTCCAAGAGAAAAAGGAAAGCGTCGGGGGAGCGTGGAATTTTTTTCCGCTCCGCGAAAGCGAGGGTTGACGCGGCCTGTTTCTCGGATTACCCGAGGACGAAGGTCGATTCGACTTTATTGCCAGCGCTTAGGCGACCTTAAGCCCTACTTAGATACCCGTCGTTGGGGAAATTTGCGAAAAATCATCGGAATTAACGGTTCTCTCGGCGCGACTATGCGAAGACCGGTACGCGGACGAGCATCGTTGCCGCGAGTGGAACTCGAGCGTTCCCGAGATTCGAGGAGAATCGCGGCGGATCTGGTCACCCAGTAGCCTAGAAAAATTCCTCGTTCACGGAGCGCCCCGGCAAGGTAACCCACGCGAGGAACGCGAGTTTTCATACGGCAGGTACACGCTTCGCGGTGGCGGACCGACGAGGAATCCTCAGGTGACTCGTGGAAAGTTCGTCAGAGAGGCCGGAGGGTCGACAGGCAGCCAGGCCAGGCAGCCAGGCACAGGCACAGGCACAGGCGCAGGCACTGGCACAGGCACAGGCAGGCAGGCACAGGCAGCCAGGCAAACAGGCAGGCGAGCAGACCGACGGGCGTCGCGCAAGAAGGAACAATTAGAGGCCAAATAAAGACGAAGAAGCGAGTCACAGTCGAGCGGGTTCGCAACGAGCGTGTGTGTGATTTCGGTCACGCCGCGCGCCTGTACGTTGACCCCTGGAGAAAGAGAGGAGAGGAGAGAACGGAAAAAACGAAGAAACACAGGGGCAGACAGCTGAAAAAGGGAGGGAAAAAGACCGACCGAACAGCGGAGGGGAAGCGGAGAGGTGAATGGGGGAGGGGGAGCGAACGAGGAGAGCATTTGCTCACCGTTCGTTCGTTCGTTCGTTCGTTCGTACGTTCGTTCGTTCGTTCGTTCTTTCTTCCTCTGCACGGAGAGGGTTCCTCGACTCGCCTCCCGGTTCGAACTCGCTCGTTGCCACCACGGGCAGAGAGAGAGCGAGAGACAGAGAGAGAGCGAGAAACGGAGCGAGGGGGGACAGGAGGGAGAGAGGGAGAGAGATAGACCTGAACGGTCGAGGGGGACGGGGGCACGACTGCGTGCAACCAACAGAGACGTCGTCGCGAAGGAACGATAGGAAGACAGAGGTAGCCGGAGAAACGTTCAGGAGGCTGAGAACTCACTCCAAGAGACCGAGCAACCGACGTACACACAGGTTCACCGCGAGTTAATCGTGCCCACCGTTCGATGATGCTCGCTGGAGACCGCTAAAAACTGCCCCCTACCTCTCTCTCTCTCTCTCTCTCTCTCTCTCTCTCTCTCTCTCTCTTTCTCTCTCTCTCCTCCTCCTCCGCTCTCTCTTAGTCGACAAAATTTTAGACGTCTGGGGTCGTGATCGCGACGACCACGAACCACCCGGGGGCACCGCGAGGAGAGGGTGGGATTTCGGCGACGGTGCTAGAAGCACACTCGTTCCCGAGGAGTTATGGAGGGCTGTCGCGTATGCAAAAACAGGCGGAGATTTGCATGCGGCGCGAACTACGGATCCTCTCGTGGAAGGTGCGAGAGTTCGATCGCGCAGAAAGCTGGAAGCCGCGCCGATAATCGCGCGCCGCGGAGTAGGTGTAAAACGTATCTCGGGAACCGCTACGACGCTGGAGGAGAGAGAGAGAGAGAGCAAAGGTGACTTCTTTAAAGCGGGAGTGTCCCTGTCGCGACCGATAAGTAATCTTGTACCGGAACACTGGAGGCGTGGATACGAGCCCTTTAAGAGCAGTTCATGTGTATTCGACATGCGTATTACGCGTGCTCCCCGGGATTTGTCACGCGTCGGCTAAAGCCGCTTTCACGATACGACGCGGCGCGAGAGATTCCATTTCACGAAAACCAGTCCTTGGCCCCGGCCGCGTATTTACCCGACGATCGGACGAGTTTAGACGAGGCACGGAGAGTAGTCCGATGACGATTCGCCGTTAAATGGTCCAGCTACCATCTCCACGGCATAATCTCGCCGACAATCGCGCAGTAATCTTTAACGAGCGTCCTCCATCGAGAGACACTTTATCGAGGCTCTCTCGTTCCGATTACCTCGACAAATTTGTCTTTTACTCGAACCCTCGAGGAGGCGCGCTCGGAACGACCCCAAAAATCCAATTAATCTGCACAGCAGAGGGAACAACTAGGCGAGTAA